TTTTTTTTTTTTTTTTGGTTCGAGAATTGAACCCAGGGTTGCTCAACTACTGAGTCACATCCTAAGCCCTTTTTTATACTTTATTTAAGAATCCGAGGTACTTGGGAGGCTGTTAAGAAGATCACAAGTTGAGGTGGCTGGGGTGTGGTGGCTCAGTGGTAGAGCATTTGCCTAGCATGTGTGAGGCACTGGGTTCAATTCTCAGCACTGCACATAAATAAATGAATAAAATAAAGGCTTAAAAAAAAAGAGAGAGAGAACTGCTACTTGACATCTCCACCTAGATCTGCAATTTAGGCCCCTGAGCTTTTGATCCGTCCCCAACCAGTCCCATCCATGTGCTTTCTCATTTCAGTCAATGGAAATTCCATTCTTCAGTCAAATCCCCAAGGTCACCCTCAGCAGTTCCCTCCTCTTAGAACTCTGTTGCTCTACCCCCTAGCACCTCCATGGCTACCACCTGGTCTGAGGCACCTTGAGTCTCACCTGAATTATTACAACTGCTTCCTCATGGGTCCCCCTGGTTCCACTCTGGACCCACCCACAGTCCCCTCTCAGGACGGCAGCCTGGGTGCTGGGGTGAAACTGTGTCGGACATGCTGATCTAAGTTAGTTAGGTCAGGTGGCTTCTCTTTCTTCAACTCCAGTGGCTCCATCTCAGAGTAAAGCCAACCTGGCATCAAGGCCCTACCTGTTCTGATCTTGGCTCCTCTTCCCGTTGTGCTCCAGCCACAATGGCCTCTTCGTTGTCTTTCAGGCTGCAGGACCTTTGCAGACCTGTCCCCTGGCCTGCTCTGCCTTCCTTCAGACCTCCACGTGGCTTGCCCGTTCACTTACCTATTCGCTCCTCCTTCTCCTCTGTAGCACCAAGAGCCTCTAATTAATTTCCTTACTGGTTTGTCTGTCCCCCTTGCTTGGAAGTCAGCTCTGGGAAGTCTGGGGTGTTTTGTCTGTTTTTGTTTTGAGGTGCTGGGACTGAACCCAGGGCCTTGTGCAAGCAAATGCTCTACCACAGAGCCGCGCCCCCCACCCCCCAGTCCATTTTTGAAGTGTCTTTTACTGCTATAACCCCCAGTGCCTGGTCCTGGCTCACTGAATGAAGGGAACACCAGAAGAAGGGACTTGCCCAAGGTCATAGCCATTCAAAATTAATGACTTTCCTTTTGGGAAGAAATAAAGCACCAAGCCTCCAGCTCTGGCCTAAAGCCCTTCTCACAGTCATGCCAAGTCCTTGATCCTCACCACAGGGCAGAGCCCAGGGACAGTCCAACCACAGAGGTGTCTGCTAGACTTTGCCGGGACAGGAGTGCTCACACCACCCAGTGGGTCCACCATGGAGAGAGGTAAGGAAGGGGCTTCTCTGAAGACACCAGGGTGTTGATCCTGTCCTGGTAGAGGCCAAGGCAGCTAGCCACCGAAGGCCAAGGGACTTCTCCCTCCTGCTCTGACTCAACTGCACTCATGGGAGACAGGCCCAGGCCCAGCCCTATGCTTATGCAGATGGGAGGGAAGGAAGGCACATTTTCCAAGCAGTTGCTGCTGGGGGTGACCCTACATAGGGGCAGGTTCCAAATGCCCCTCCCTCTATTCCAGGTTTCAAACCCAGGAGAGCAGAGGGCACCCAGGCCCAGATGGTCCAGGGCCTAGAATCTGGCGCCCTCTGGTGGCACCACTGGTTAGGGCCAGAGGTGAAACTTGTACCTCCTCTGAGCTCCAAAGATAGGAGTGGTCAGGGAACAGCTGGAATCAGCAGCTCTGGGTCTGGCCTGGGCCTACCTTGTCCAACAGCAAAGAAGGAGTGGCCCTTGTCCAATAACACACAGCAAGGAGGTGACGCCAGCCTAGCCTGACTCCTCCTCTGGCTGCCCTCCCCTCTGTTCCTCATCTCTAGATAGGGAAAGCCTCCCTCCCAGGCCAGCAGAGACGCAGAGGCTTGGCCATTTGTTAAAAAGTATAAAGTGCAAATACATCTGGCTTTTATTGAGGTTACTCTGTGCTTAACACCAGGTCTGCAGGGCTCTACCTCCCACTTCCACCTCCCTGAACTTCCCATTGCCAGGAAAGAAGGTGCTGGTGAGACCCAGGTGTTGAGCAGGGGACGCTGTTGATGTGGAGGTAGAAGGGACAGAAGAGACCAGTGGCTGAGTCTTTAGGGAGGGCAGGGATCCAGGAATCTGCCCACCATGAAACTGAGAGCTGAGGAGCCCCCTCTGTCCCTCTACCTGGGGCTATGAGCCAGGCCCAGCAGGGTCAGGAGTCTTTGAATCCTACCCTTTTGCCAAGTGACCTCTGGGAAACAGGATCCATTTCTGAGTGGTTTCTCCCAACCTAGACTGGTCCAGAGGCAGAGTGGCCAAGTCTAAGGTGACAGCCAGATCTCTCTGGCTTTGTGGCTTCTGGGCGCAGCTCCTGCCAGCAATACCTCTGCTCCTATGCACTCCTTTGGAGTCACTGTTTGGACCTGATGGGACAGAGGTGGAAGAAGCAGGAACAGAAAAACAGAAAGAACTGGAGTCAGATGCAATCTGAGAGAGACAAACACCAACAGGTACAGAGAACAGCCAGAGCAAGAGCGAATCAAAGACACAATGAGACAAAGACAAAGCCAGTGATAGAACAAGAGAAGATGGCTGAGGAGATGAAACATGTCCAGACTCAGCCCAGTGAATGGGGCCTCACCTAGAGCTCATCCCGGGGCTGGGGATGGAGGCTGTGCCCACTGCTACCAGCCAGATCCAGGACAGGGCCACGCAGGGTCTTTTGAGAGCCAGTCCAGCTGATGAGGCGGCCACTGTCATCGTCCCAAGGAGAGGATGTCTCTGTGTCACTGAGCCACTCAGCGTCCCCTGCATAGTGGGTGGGGGCAGCGAGCAGGGGCTGGGCAGAGAAGGCCTGCAGGTCCCTTGGCCAGAAGTGTGCCTTGTACTGCTCACTGTGAAACAGGAAGACAGTTCAGGTGGGCCAAGGTGGGCCCCTGATCCCTGACCCCATAGCAGCCAGGAGCCTGGTGCCTCCCCTCCCCTCACCGCCCTCCCCACTGGTCCTTACAATAGCCCTGAGAAGTAAGACTTCTATTATTCCCATTTTCCATATAAGGAAACTGAGGCTTATAACGGGGAAGCCATTTGATTAAAACCATGAGGGTGGGGGCCTGGGTTGTGGCTCAGTAATAGAGCGCTTGCCTAGTATGCATGAGGCACTGGGTTTGATCCCTGGTACCGCATAAAAATAGAAACAAACAAAATAAACGTATTTTGTCCACCTACAACTAAAAAAAAAAAACCATGAGGGCAGCAAGGCACTCACATGCAGCTGGGTCTGACCAGTGGTCACTCTTGGGTGACCTGGGCCTGATCAGGCTCCACCTCCCCAGCTGCCCAGCGAGGGAACTTATTGAGACAGGCTCCTGGATGGGACACCCCTGCCCTGCCCAGCCCCAGCAGAGCCTCACTTGGGGTGCTGGTCAAACATGATGGGCAGGAACTCGTCCACAGGCAGCATGCGGTGTAGAGGCTGGGAAGCCAGCAGCTTGCGGGCGCCTGCCAGGCTCAGAGTATATGCCAGTGTCCAATAGGAGTACCCTGCCACCACCAGGCCTGGTAGTCCCTCCACAGCCACCTCCTCCTCAGGGTTCACCTGCTTTCGGCCAAGGTAGCTGCAAGTAAATCAAGGGCCCCAGAAGCCACTGTAGGTCCCGGGGTGTCAAGTCCCCTCTCAGCCAGGTTCAGGGGTGGGAAGTGGCCAGGACTCCAAGCAGGACATAGCCAGCCCTCTCCCTTCCCCCTGGGGTGCAGGCTGCCTACATGAGGTCCCACGGAAGCTTCCGGGCCTCCACCTCCTCCATCAGCTGCTTCAGTCGCCCCCGGAAGTTGCTCTGAAAGCGCACGTCGTCCTCAAATACCAGCACCCGGGCCAAACCCCTGGCCACTACCTGTGGTACATGGTAGGGATAGGGAGATGGCTCTACAGATTTGAGCTACCCACTTCCCATCTGCCTTCCTTAGCCAAGGCTCACACAGTGACTCCCAAGCCCAGCGGGGCTGCCACTGCCTACGAAATGAAATTCGGGCCCTCCCCAAGATCCCCAGCCTAGTTTGCCAAAAGGAAATATTTGGCAATCACCACCCTTGCTGTGGTCACTGAGCTCTGCTCTATCCCTGGGGCTAGTGCTACCATTCACCTCCAGGGATACCCAGGAGGCGGGAACGTGACCCCCCATGACAGGAAGGAGGTGAGACTGCCCAGCCAAGGGCGCACAGCAGACCTGCAACTGCTGGGCTCCAGGACTTGGCTCATCTCTTCAGCCTCCTGAGCTTCTGGAAGGACGCTGGGCTGGATGGGGGTGAGGGGAGACCCCAGCCCCCAACATTGCAAAGAAAAAATACTTTCTGTAACTTTGGAAATGTGAAAAGAACATGAAATCAGCTCAGTAAATGATGAACCACGTCATCCTTCAATTTGCTCAGATGGGAAAAATCAACCATAAATGTAAACATGAGGTCACACACATACATACATATTGTGGCTATAGAAGAAAATAAAACAAGAAGTTGGGTGCCATGGTGCACACCTTAAATGCTAGCTACTCATGAGACTGAGGCAGGAGGATTGAAAGTTTGTCTCAGCAAGTTAGTGAGACTCTGACTCAAAAATAAAGAAGAAAGAATAAAAAGGTCTGGGACGTAGCTCAGTGGTTGAGTGCCCTGGGTTCAATTCCCAGCACTATAAAATCAAAACAAATGAAAATAAAAACAAGGACTGAATCTGCACACCGTTGCTGGAGATTGGAGGGCCCAGCCCCCTGACCCCTGGCTGAGGCCTCTGGGCCAAGGGATGAGCAAGGCCACGCCTTGGGCCTTCCTGTCTCTGTTCCTGAAAAGCCCTTGCTTTCTCTGCACCTTTGCCACAGTTTCACTCTGCCTGCGGCCCACATGGCAACCTGGGCAGCAGACAGGGCCACTGCACTGTGGGGACAGCCTGCGCTTCTCTCCCCTGCGAGTTTGGTTCTTTCTTGAGTTCTGTGCCCATCTCTGGTCCCTGAGCTCCAGGCAGATCCCCCTCTGGCAGGAAGGAGACAGATGTGCCTTCTTCTTGTTCTGTGTGTTCCTCGACAGAATATCTGCTAGCACCCAGCAGATGGTCAGTTGAGACTGTGGAGTGAACCAGGGCACCCTCTGTGGACACGGAGAAGGCCTAGAGGTGCTGGCTAGGCTTTGTGGATTCATTCATTCACTCATTTACCTGCACACACCTGAGTGCTGGGAAAACAATCATGCCTAGGACAAGCCAGCCCCTGATGTCCCTGAAGGGCGTGGCCCAGAAGGCAGGTATCCTCACCTCTTCCCAGATGGAGTAGTGGCTGAGGAAGCAGCCCACCTCACCCTTGGTCAGTGTGCGACCCGAGTAGGGGTCCTGGTAGCCAGGAAGCAGGTCCACGCCAAGGCTCCTGAGGATACTGCTATTGAGCATCCTGCGGGACACAGGTGTAATGGAATCTCAGGTGCCAGCCAGAGACTCCTCCAGAGGGCCTCACCAGCACATGTTGGTGACAGTCACACCAGAGTCTAGCTCAAAGGAGGTTTAAGCCCTGTAATTCCTTTTTGTGGTCTAAAGCTGTCAGTGACTGGAGGGAACCAGCATCACCTCAGGAGGTCCTGAGCTCCACAGAGGGGGCTGCCTGGGGGGAAGCCCCCCAAGGTGAACATGGGCACCGTGGTAGCAACTTCTCGGGCAGATGACCAAGCAAAGGATGGACATCCTACAGGCAAAAGCACTGGGGGTGGGCTGGGCACATAGCTCAATGCTAAAGCACTGTCCTAGTATGCACAAGAGCCTGCGTTCCATCCGAGCACTGAAGGGAAAGAAAGAGAGAGAGGGCTCAAACTGTGACAGGGATACAGGCCACAAGGCTGGCTGGCTGGAGAAACCTGGCCTTGGCATTCCCCAAGGAATATGGCTGGGCTGTACCCACCCCCACCCATCAGGGACCTAAGTCCAGGATGGAGGGGAGTGGTATCAAGGACACTTGACCCTTTACAGCACTAAGAGGTGTTGAGCTCTGGCTGAATCTTCACTGGACCCTTGCAAAACAGGAAGAGCCAGGCAGGATTATTTGCCATTTACAGAACAGGGCAGAGAGATGGGGGCAACTTGCCCAAGGTCACAGAGCTGGAAAGTGGCAGTGCAGAACCCAGGTCTGGAGCCTTAGCCACTCTACCTCTTCCCTCTAGTGGACTGAGCAAGGGTGTTCTGTCCTGCATCTGTCTGCCCTGGAATTCCCTAAGACCTATTCTTCAGGCCCTATTTGGATGCTTCCTGGAACAGGCAACTAATTCAACTCTTCCGCTTTACCCACTCCCAGGAGCTCAGAGATGGACTAGGCTGTCCCCTTGGATCCCATCCACAAGAAGCCTCACCTGCCATCCACAGCGTCCACTACCCGCCCAGAGATCTCCATCTCCCAGAGCGAGCTCAGCATGCGCTCTCGGCGGTTGGGCCTGCGGGCCAGGCTGATGACAAAGACCTGGTGGAGACAGGGGGAGGGGAGAGACCACCACCCCCTGTCCCCAGTTCCACAGGTTGGGAGATATACCTCATCAAAACCCATCTTGCTGGGCCTCTTCGGAGGTCGAGATACGTGAGCTGAGGCCTGCATGGGAGGCCCATCCACTGCAAAGGGAAGCACACCCTAATCATGAGCCTCACCAACTTCCGGGGACAGCCAGCCTGCAGTCCTCACCCCCAGCCTCATTCCTGCCCCCTCAGCAGAAGACTGGGCAGAAAAGGCTGGGATGACAGATCTGCCTGCCCCGTAGCAGACAGGAAGAAAGGCCCACAGAAGGGGCTTGCTCAGCATCACGGAACAAGTTAGGGAAAGGCTAGAACCCCAAGCCCAACGGACTTGAGTCTAGGGCCTAGGAAAGGGGCAGCAAGGGGAGGCAGGGGACCAGCCAGCAGGTGGGCAGGGCAGGTTCCCAGCCCTCACCCAGTGCTTCTAAGATCAGGTGGATGAAGTTGACCTTCTCATCCTCCAGGGTCTGGTGGGACTTCACCCCCACGTTCATGTATCCATAACGTTGCTCATTGCACACATGGACGGAGACCCCTGTAGAGAGAGGTCAAGGAGTGCCAGAGCTGGGCTAGGGTTTGCAGGACCCAGCAGAGGCCTCCGGCGCAGTACCTGACAGGAACCCAGTGTGTGAGTCTTCTCTGGGACTCAGTTCCCTACCTGTGGGACACACAACACCAGATGGTGGCTTACTGAACAGACCTGTCTAGGACACCTGCAGGGCACTGGGGCTGTGGTGTTGAGCTAGACATATGGGGTGCCTGCCCTCAGGGAGTCAGGTGAGGAAGGAGCAGGACCCTAGCTGAGGGATGGCAGCAAGTCCTGTGGCTATACTCCTGAACTCCCAACTCTCCCCACCCCTGCTGCCCCTTCACACTGTCTTCTACCTGAGAGCCACAGTGACCTTTTTTCCCCTTCAATATCTGTCACCTTCAAGCTGGGGATGTAGCCCAATGATAGAGTACTTGCCTGGCATGTACAAGGCCCAAGGTTCAGTTCCAGGATCACATACACAAAACTGTCACCTTTATTAATTATTAAGGCACTCAGTGTCTGTTTTAAAGCTAACCCATGCCCAGCACTGCACACAGACCCTAATCAGAGCAAGGGCACAACAGCACACATAGAAGCCTGAGTGATGGAGATAAAACCACTTTCTGCCAGATTCCTTCACACGCTGACCAATTAATAGTGGCTGCTCATCGAAGTAGTAGTAGCAACGAGAAACTAAAACAGAGCCAGGTGCAGTGGCGCATGCCTGTCATCCCAGCAACTCGGGAGGCTGAGGCAGGAGGATTACAAGTTTGAAGCAAGCCTCAACAACTTAGAGAGGCCCTAAGCAACTTGGCAAGACCCCATCTCAAAAAACAAAAAGGGCTGGGGATGTGGCTCAGTGGTACAGCCCCTCAGGGTTGCCCCAGTGTCCAGAGCTTTACACACTGAGCCCTTTTTATTTTATTTTACTTTGTGACAGGCTCTCACTAAGTTGCTGAGGCTGGCCTCCATCTTGTGACCCTCCTGACTCAGCCTCCTGAGTTGCTGGGATGATAGGCATGCACCACAAGTGTCTGCCAGCTCAGATTTTAGATCACAGACCAGAAGTTCACTCCTTCCAGGAAGACTTCCTGGACCAGGAAGCTCTAGTCTCACCCTCCAGAGTACCTATGATCATGAGTTCACAGGCTAGAGATGTAGAGCAGTAATAGAGCGCTTGCCTAGCATCCGTGAGGCCCTGGGCTCGAGCCCCAGCACCACACATGCACAGCTCCCCTTCCTGTCGTCGTTGTGATTGAACACTGATTCGTGTGGTCTTTTGATTGACTGAACTGGAAGCTCCGGGAGGGCAAGGACTGCCTGAATCTACTCACCACTCTTTCCCCACTGCCTCAAACATGGCAGTTGCTCCATAAATATCTGCCTAGTGAAGGAATACACGAAAGTGCCACAACGGTGGCAGCCAGAAAGGCAGTAGACTCAAGAAATGCTCTGACCCAAAGGCCAGACAGGAGTTGACAAGAAGAAATGCAGAGCAGGCAAGGGCATGCCAGGCAGAGGGAGCACATGTGCAAACGCTCAGGGGCCTCCAAGAAATGCTCAAGGAGGGCTAGTCCTCACCAGCGGCCTGACAGGCATAGGCGAAGACGATGATGTCATCGAAGGGCCAAGTGTAGTTGGGATGAGGTGGGTAGAAGGCGAACTGAGATATCCCCTCAGCCCGCAGGGACAGCAGGAAGGTAGAGTGGACCATGGGGACCCGGAAGCAGCCCCGGCGCTGGCGGTTCTTGGTGGGGAAGTATTCAGCTGTGCGGCGGTAGTAGCCCTGGGGAAGGGGGATGCTCTCAGCTATGAGCAACTCCCCTGCCTCAGCCCACAGACCCCAGGCCCTCCAGGCTCTCTGCTCTTCGTGCCCCTCCTCCCAGGACCTCAGCCTCCTGACATCCCAGCCCCACCCTCACCTGGGGGGTGATCCCACACCAGAAGTTGGAGTAGTAGGTCTGGGAGTCCAGCATTGGGGCCACCACTGGTAGCCCCTTCTCCACCAAAAGCCTCAACGTCTGGTTGTTGGTCAGAATGTTGTCTGTGTCTGCAAACTTTGGGGAGGGGGATATCAGAGGTCCAAGGCCTATCTGGGCAGCAGACCCCCCAAGGAGCTCATGAAGCAGGAATCCCTCCAGATTGCCAGAGACCCGGAACAGCTGCTAGGATCCAGTGGGCATTTCCTTATAGAGTCCTAACCAATAAACCCAATAGATGTGTTTCTGAACCAGGATCTAGTCTAGGGCTCCGGCTTAGAGACCAGACCCAGAGAGCAAAATAGAATAGTTTATCTAAAAACCGTATCTGAGACCTGGAGTGGATCCAAAGACTGACTCTGAGCTCTAATACAGGGATCCAGGCTCAGTTAAACTCTGGACACTTACCTAGGAATCTAGGCTCAGTAAATATTTTAGGATCTGTCTCTGGGATCCTGGTTTACTACCCAGTCTGAGATCAAACACAGGATTCCAGCTCAACATCTGATCTGGCTCTGAAAGATTCAGCTTGATGGGGCTGGGGATAGAGCTCAGTTGGTAGAGTGCTTGCTTCACATGCACAAGGCCCTGGGTTCAGCCTGATGATCAAGTCACATCAAGATTTCTATCAGGGACAGACACCACAGAAGCCCAATCCAAGCCAGGATTCTTTACCAGGACATAGTCAGCCCCCCAATTCCTGGCAAAAGTCAGGGCTTCCTGCTTCAATTCCATCAGAAACTGGTGCCTTTCTTTGGTCCAGTGCTTGGGACCCTCTTCACTTGGGTAGGACCTAAGAGAGTAAAGAGATGAGCTGTTCCCATGGGTAGTTACCATGCCTCTCCCTCTCTGTAGTGCAGCCCTTTCCTGGAGGCTGTGGCTCTAGGCTCCCTCTTCTTGTCTCTGGGATGTGACTGTTTCCCATCTTCCCCAGTATCCATCCCTCAGATCACAACCTGGACTCCCCCTCAGGCCTCCAGAACACAGCTGCATAGTCACTGCCCACAGCTGCCAGCCACTCCTGCAGCATCTCTGTGGTGTTGTCCATATTGTGATCTGTGGCACACCTGGGGACAGAGGAGGAAAAGGTGAGGGGGCACAATCACAGAAGGCAATCTTGATTCAGGTGCACCCACACCTTTGAGGCTGGCCTCTCCTGGGAGCAGTGAAGAAGTGTGTTAGAAGAGAAGGAATGAAACCAGGACAGCCAAGTCCCTATCGTCAGTCTGTGACTTGCTGTGTGACCTCAAACAAGTCCTGTCCCTCTTTAGGCTTTGCATCCTCCCTCTTTAACTTTAAGCTGCCGTGCCTATGTCATAATCAAAGTCACAAATAAATAAATGTTTTTTTTTTAATTTAGTTATTTGGCTGGGGTTTGAGCCCCGGGGCTACTCAGTCACTGAACTACATCCCCACACCTTTTTATTTTGAGACAGGGTCTCACTAAGTTGTGGAGGTAGGCCTTGAACTTGTGATCCTCCTGCCTCAGCCTCCCTCTGGAGCTGCTGGGAGTGCATTTTTAAGGATGGCTTTAAGGTTCCACATTCCCTAGTTACCTTCCTTCTTTGCCTTATGACCACTAGCCAGGCCCTTTTCCTCTCTAAATCAGAATTAGACAAAAGAGCTGCTACTTTCCTCCACCCACAGGTTGTAATGAGGACTAAACCATGCCCTGAGTGTCCCTGAGAAATGCAGATGGGCCAAAGCTCTGCTGCCATGGAGCACAGCCTCCCGTCTCCTGGGGAAGGGGCTCTCATACCCAGAAGTGGTGGACTTAGCCAAGAGCCAAACTTTTAGATGATGCTGCCCCTTTAAGCCAATTCCCTAGAAGTGAAGACTAACTACGTGTCAAATCTTATGGGGTGGGAACTAACTCACTCCCAGACTGTGACTGTGGGCCGCCTTTGCAGGCCATGACTCCACCCCAGACCAACTTTGGTTTGCAGTGAGGGGTAGTTTGTCATTTCTCTCAGTTTATCCCTGACCTCAGTTTGGGACTCCTCCCTGTCTGGTCTTTAAACTGGGGGCTGTGGCCTCTGATCCCAGTGCTGCCCTATGGGGATGTCAGAGGGAGGCTCCCAGGAGAGGGATGCTGCCCTTGGCTGGCAGGACTTACCTACCCTTCTACCCAGATAGGCTGGCTCGCCTGACTCTCCACACAGTATAGGGCCCAGGGCTGCCTCAACCCCATCTGCTCCCCAGAAACCTCCAGCTTGGCTGGTCTCTGCCACATTAGGTTCCAGGGGACTCCAGAGGTTCCTGTCCACTCCACCACAAGTCAAGCCACAACAGATCCCACTGGGGTTCAGCTTAGGCTCTGTGGGCTGGGACAAGAAGGGATGGAATAAAATTATCCAGAGGAGGCCCCAAGAGGAGGAGTAGGGGGCTGGAAGCAGGGGTGGGTCGACCTATGGCCTCAGAGGCCTGTCCTGTCCCCCAAAATGATGGAGGTCCTAGGCGGGATGCTCAGAGACTTGAGGGGCGAATCGCGCGGCTTGGGGCTTGGTGCCCAGCGATGCCTGCGCCGGGGTCTCTCACCAGAGGGCCACCCTGGCCCGGGGGTAGTCCAGCCGCTCCAACGCGCCCAGGTAGTGGGGCAGTGAGTGCTCGGCATTTCGAGCCAGGATGGCAAGCACCACGGTGGGCAGCGGTGGCTCCGCGATGCCCGCAGCCTGGAGCCGCAGCCCCAGCAGGAGCAACAGTCCCAGCAGCCGGGCGGCGAGCATAACGCCCATGGCGGGCGCTCGGCCGCTGCAGCAGCTTCGCCCCCGGGAGTGGAGGGGAGGGGAGGGGAGGGGCCTGGGGCACGGGAGGAGCCCCTTGCAAAGTGGGCGCTTCAGCCTGCGCTCCGCCCCGGCACCAGGAGGCCGAGGCTGGAGGCCAGGTCGCAGCCCGTCAGCAGTCCCTCCCAGAGCGGCCAAAGGGGCCAGGGAGGATCCGGGGTGACTGCATTGGAGCGGCCCGGTGTCGGAGAACTCCCGTTCCCTGAGCGCTCAACCCCTGGAACCAGGACTTCCCTGAATGCTGGTTCCCTGGCCGTCGGGCAGACGCACAGACCTCAGCCGCACCCACGCTGCGGGACCCACTCGGCCTGGCATTCCCCGGGCGCCCCTACTCCCGCTCCTCCTCCGCCCCGGGCGCCCTCTGGCGGGCCCAGGCGCGAACTCGCAGAAGCGCGAGGAGACTGGAGGGCCGGAGAGGAAGCCTCTGCTCTAGGGGCGGGGTCGGAGTCCCCCTGACCTGGGTGCGCCTTTCCGCAGCGTTCTGCGTTCTGAGCCTGGCACCCCCTGGCATTTCCAGTCCTCGCTGTGGTCGCCGGCACCAGCACTGCTTCGGCTCTTTAAGAGAGCAAAAGTCCACTCAGACTGAGTCTAGTTTAGGGCACTACAGAACACCTAATGGTGACCCAGCCCCCTTCCAAAGCAGGAGATACAGCCTCCCTGGGGCAGAGCCAGATCCTAGGACCCTGCTGGGATGGAAGGGAGTCTCCAGTCTCCTCTGGGAGAGGGACAGGAGCCTCAAGGATCCTGAGCTGCAAAACCGGCTGATGCGAGCTGGGGGATGTAGCTTAGTAGTGGAGTACTTACTTGCCTGGAGCGCGGGAAGTTCTGAGTTTGATGGGGCTCCATCCAGCTGATGAGAGTTTCCTTCAAAGAATGAATGCACTTGAAGCTCTTGGCATGAAGTCCGACTCTCAGGGGGAGTTCCGAAAAGCTCAGAAGTGGAAGGGAGAACACTCTTAGCCTCTTTCCAGGGTCAGGAAGGGGAATTGGACTGGTGCATGCTATCCTCCTGGGCAGGGGCTGGGTGGGACCATGCAGAGAATGGACTTACCTAATGATGAGCGTGTTGGTGGTGGGGAGCATGTTGAACTCTGGCATCCTGGTCCAAGGCCTGGCTCCAAAGGCTCCAGTTACAGCTTCCAGTGTTTCAAATTCCAGCTGGGCCATTTTCAGGCCAGTGGCCCTAAAGTGAGAAGGGATAGAGAAGGGATCTAGGTCCCATGAAAGCATCTTGGGTCCCCTCCCTTATATGGTAGCCTCTGGCTGGAAGGCACTCCAGGTCCCAGGATTCCCTTTTTAAAGTCAAACAATGTCCCTGTCACTTCCCCACCCTAGACCCTCTGCCCATCCCTATTGGTCCAGGGGGTGATATAGTCTGAATGTTCCTGAACCCCAACACTCATGTTAAAACCTAGTGACTGACATCTTTTGTATTAAAAGTCTTCAGGACCAGGTGTGGTGGCACATGCCTGTAAACCCAGCAACTTGCCAGGTTAAGGCAGGAGAATTGCATGGGTAGAGCACTCTGGGTTTTGTCCCCATTACTGCAAAATTTAAAAAATAAAGAAAAAGCTGGGGCTGGGGATGTGGCTCAAGCGGTAGCGCGCTCGCCTGGCATGCGTGCGGCCCGGGTTCAATCCTCAGCACCACATACCAACAAAGATGTTG